GTCGCTGAATTCAAGCGCTTCACACTGGATCTCACAGTGCTGCTTAGTGCTCACATGACCGAGTAAACACATCTGCTCTAGTGAGCTCACGCCACGCGGCAGTTTGAACTTTGATCCGAGCAGATAAAAGGTCCGTGTGGCGCTGTTTCGTTCTGCTTTTGGCGCATAAACATTATATCGAACATAATTAATCGAGATTAATCGTTTGACAGCACTAATATATATATATTTTTATTTTTTTTGTGTGTGTGAATTCTTTGTATTGTATTTATATTATAAATATATTTTAATTGCTTTGTTTGTTATGCGTTAAATAATGTGATTGGCATATGCCGTTATATAATATTTACATTTGAATTGTCTGTGCAAACATACATTATGCAATGGCATCAAAATGTATTTAAAATGTATTTGGACACTTAAGCAAGCAAGCAAACCAAACAAATAAATACATTTGCATTAAATAACAAAAATATCAAAATAAGTGGCATTCTTTTAAGGAAATATAGCACAAAAAATGTTTTAGAATATTAAGCATTTAATATTTTGTTCAGAACAAAGACAGAATGTATTTGACACTTTCTGGGTGTCAAACGTTGTGGAAAATGTTTATAGTTAACTTGAGGAGAACTGACTTCATACCTGCACAAAAAAAAATTACCCTGACACCAGTCATTTATTAAGCCTTAGTTAGTTTAAAAAACGTTTGCATCATTTGTTTACAGATGCCACTTTGATTTATGTATCGCTATGTGTGTCTAATTCAATGAATTTCAGATATTTTAAGTGTGACTTTAGTGTCCAAATATTTCCGGGCCCTCTGTACATGTGCTAAAATCACAATTTACATAAAATACATGAAAATACTCATGAGATCACATTGCCTCAGCATCCAAAATTTCACAGTCAGTAGGTTTTCTTAATAGCAGGTTATATTGATCTTGATGTGAGACTTATTTAGGCGTTGAATATCTGCAGATTTTACTATATTTGTTGTGCTACAATTGATTTATTATGAAAGTACTGTACATTAGGTAGATATGATCAACTCAGTTATGATCTCAGTTCAGCTTCAGATCTGTTTTGCCCAAATTTTAGAGATTCAGGTGAAAGCTCACTGAAAGGCCATTTTGAGCCAGAAGCAAAAATAGTTTTGTGTTGGAAAGAGGATGTTTTCTTTTCCACGGCTACAGAGAAAGAGAGAAAGGAGTGAGAGAATGGAGGGATGAGATTGGAATGTCTTTACAACTGACAGAAAAACTCCTCCGAAGTTTGACATCGCTTCAGATCAGAATAGCTTCATTGCCACTGCTGCAGCTCTAGGCTTGTGTTTGTTGGTTTTGCCATCACATGGTTTCATGACAGCGATCAGATGTAAAATAAATAGTGCCAAAAGCTATTTCCTGGATTCTAGTTGGAGATATTTTTAGTATGACCAAAAAAGGCAAAGAGCAAAGAACCTTAGCAGCTGATCTCTCCTAGTACATCCAGAGAAAAACATCTCTCCCCATCTCTCTCATCATTCTGCCCTCCCTTCTTCAAGTTTTCTAAACGTGAGAGTGCATGTTGTCTCAGATACTCTATGAGTAGATCTGCTGGTCAATGTTAACATTTGTGTGTTTGTGTGACTTGAAACCTGAAGGTATATCAAATGCAAACTAATTAAGGATAAAGTACCGCCAGCTGGTCAATATCATGATTACGGCAATTCATATAAATCCCCATATCTGACTTGTGATGCAGCCTGGAATTAATATGACACATGTTTGCTCATTTACACCAGAGAACTTGATTTGTTGGGTGGTTCACAATCACTTCTCTGGACTGAGGTTGTATGTTGAGCTTATTTTCTTTGTTAACTGTGATGTGATAATCTGAACTGTGTTTATTTCTTCTGTTATTCACTTCAGATGAGGCCAAAATAAAGAAACCCCCACCCAAAACGCTTCCTAAACAAGGTAGGGTCAAACCAATCACCATCTGCATGGTTTAAAGATAAATTCTGGGTTAAATAACTGTCTGTGTGTATTTCTGTCACATGCTGTTGATTGCAACAGAAAATCATTTTGTCCTTTTTGTTGTAAAAAGGATAACACTTTATTTTAAGGTGTCCTTGTTACACGTTACATGTACTTACTATTATAATAACAATAAATTATGCATACTTACATGCAAGTAACCCTAATCCTAACACTAACCATTTAGTAAGTACATCTAGTTAATTAATATTACTCAGTACTTAAATGTATAATTACACTGTAACAAGGACACCTTAAAATTAAGTGTAACCTAAAAAAAATACCTACCAATGAGGTAAGAAAAATAATCTTAATTACAAAGAGGAAACTAAATTTTTTTTTTTGGCCAATAGGCAGATTTGTTTTCTTTTTTTTAAGCAAAAAAACAACAATTTTGTTAGGTTTTTAGAAAACAAGACTCAATATCTTAGGTCATTTTGCTTCTCAAATAACATATTCAAGATTCAAGAATGTCCAGGTATTTATACTAAAAGACAAAAATGAAAAAGTATGAACATAATTTTTGCAGTGTATACCAAGTTACTGAGTTACTGACAAAGATTGATTAGAATTGCAATGTATGAGCAGAAGTTCCTCCATCAAAATGATGATTTAGATTGTGCATCTAAGAAGCATTACAGATGTTTTTGAAACGTTTGATCCTGGAACAGTTTTAGCATTTAAGTCTTTTTAGCATTTAGTTTCCCAAAAGTCATTTAAAATTTCAAGCTCATGTGATTTGATGTGTTTCAGGAGGAGCACAGGTGATCTTCTCATAGCAGCACATACTTTAAATCTCACTTTTATATTTTCTACACCGTCTGCTGTGCAGTTGTTCAATGCATTTCTAACTGCTGTGCAAGCAAATGGATCAGAGCCCAAGCTGTCTGTATAACTGGGCTGTGTGTGTCAGGTGCTCCTCCTCAGATCCAGCAGTTCCCTGACGATATGAAGATCCTGGCGGGTCAGGAGGTCAGTCTGCTGTGTCAGTTCACTGGAGCTCAGCCCATCAGCTGCACCTGGCTCAAGTTCCGCAAACCAGTAAGAGTCCTTTCACCTTTTAACATGTGCAGAAACCCTGACCGAGAGAGAAGCACTGCTGAATGCTCATACTTAAACACGCAGATGCACATTCATTCACTCACCAGTCCCCTTTAAATGCTTCCAACATGCTGCTATTTCAAATCGACTTTGGACTGGGATGTCCAAAAATGCTGTCTAGGCAGCTCACAGCTTTTCAGAAACAGCCATCATCTTTAATGAGCAAACACTGCAAGCTGGCATATCACTCTGTACACATGGCTCAGACACAACATGTTAGTTGTAAACATCTTTATTACTCTCATTTTTGTTTTCCAGTTAGACTTTCTAATTGAAACTGAACATTCAACTCTCAGGTTGTGTTCAAATCTTTATACCACTTGTGGTGTTTTCGGTCAAAAATGACTGGGGCACAAAATATAGCTTAGAAATCTCTTGTTATGCAATATTATCACCTAGTATTGGTATTAATCTTTTTGTAGGCTTGTTTTTGTTCATTTTTGGAACTGATTCATCGTAGGCCTCATTAATCTGAGCGAAAAAGTGTTATTTGTGGATAATTTTGTCAATATTAAAATATGAAAAAAATGTGCGGTGTTTATCACACTAGCATGCTCTAATGTTTAACCAAGAAATTTGTTTTGAAAAGCTTTTATTTTGTACAAAATTGCAAAAAATTGCAAAAAAAAAAAAAAAATCACACTTGTGGTGTTTTCGGTCAAAAATGACCGGCCTACAAAAAATAGCTTATAAATCTCTTGTTATGCAATATTATGACCTAATATTGGTATCAATCTTTTTGTCAGCTTGTCTTCTTTCAATTAGGACTGGTCTTGTGTTTATTTTTGGATCTGATTCATCGTAGGCCTCATTAATCTGATCTTACATCAGTTTTGAGCGAAAAAAAAATATTTTTTTATTTGTGGATAATTTTGTCAATATGAAAATAAATTGCGGTGTTTATCACACTAGCATGCTCTAATGTTTAACCAAGAAATTTGGGTAACACTTTAGAATAGGGAACACTTATTCACTATTAACTACGACTTTTCCCTCAATAATTTGCCTAATTTGCTGCTTATTAATAATTAGTAAGGTAGTTGTTAAGTTTAGGTATTGGGTACGATTAGGGATTTAGAATAAGGTCATGTAGAATAAGGCATTAATATGTGCTTAATTAGTACTAATAAATGGCTAATATTCTAGTAATATGCATGCTAATAAGCAAGTAGTTAAGAGACCCTAAAATAAAGTGTTACCGAAATTTGTTTTGAACTGGTTTGTTGGACTGGTTTTGTGTTTATTTTTGGAACTGATTCATTGTAGGCCTCATTAATCTGATCTTACATCAGTTTTTGAGTGAAAAAAAGCATTATTTGTGGATAATTTTGTCAATATTAAATAAAATGTGCACTGTTTATCACACTAGCATGCTCTAATGTTTAAAGTAGCTTATGTCTGCAACTGGCACCAGTGTTTGTGTTGTTTATGCACACCTCTGCTCCTTCAGATTCAGGAAGGTCAGGGCATCTCGGTAGTGAGCACAGACAGCAGCAGTCAGCTGACCATCACAGAAGGACAGCAGGAGCACTGCGGCTGCTACACCATCGAGCTCAAGAACAGCTGTGGCGTGAGACAGGCCGCCCTCAACCTCACTATAGTCGGTAAGTGTGGATGCTAGTGGGCGTAGAATTAGGGTGGATGCTATAGGGACAAGTCCCTACCAATATCCAGTGACTACCAAAACTGTCCTTAGCAATAATTTTGATCAAACAATTAAATATGTTTTTGTCATTTCGGACGCATCTGAAACCATACCATTGATATTACCAAAGAAGTTAAAGTAAATACGTTAGAAAACTGCACGCTTTCAAGCACGTAGATTTAATACATGGGCAGAGTAAGAATGTAAAGCAGTCGCAGCGTTCAGAAAAACAGTTAACATAAAAGCTCACTTAAGGAATTAACAAAGCTGCATCGATGAAATATGGTGTTTGACAAAACAGAGCAAATGGAAAGAGAAAGCGCGATCTATTACCTTATAGGCTATATAAAGCATATGAACAGAAAGACAAACGTTGTGCTAAAAGATGCACAATACACAATCTTCCAGCCTAGGATAAAGGCATTATGTACATTATCAATAATTTGCGACAAGTATAATGTGATTTTCAGTGTTGTGGAAAGTTACTTTTAAAAGTAATGCATTACAATAATGAGTTACTCCCTAAAAAAGTAACTAATTGCATTACTTAGTTACTTTTTATGGAAAGTACTGTGTTGTGTTACTTTTGGGTTACTTTTTCTCATCTGGACTGGGCTTGCTTGTATGTTTTTTTTTTTTAATATAAAAAGTTATTTTTTGGCATATGTCAAAGCCCTTTCACACCAAAAGTGAAATAAATAAGCCTCAGGCTGAAGGAATTGTTAATTCAATTGTTAACATATTTAATTATTGCAGGTTTGCGTCATATTCTGAGTTCGCATTTCATTTCTAGGACTACTAAATCTGTCTTTGTGAAAGTGAGATGAGTAATTGCATGTTCACATTTAAAGCTACAGTAACCATCGTGTTTACACATTGTACACAACGCCTCTGCACTTACTACAGATTTTTCTCAACATGGGAATAGGAGAGCTGTTAGTCCATAAATGGGAAAACAAAGTAACTGGCGTTACTTATTTGAAAAAGTAACTCAGATATTTTACTGTAAATTAAAAATGAAAGCATTAATTTACTACTTACTTGAAAAAAAGTAATCCGATTACGTAACTCAAGTTACTTGTAATGCGTTACCCCCAACACTGGTGATTTTATGGTAAGTTTCACAACATTTGATAAAGCACAAAAATGTACATTCACATACCTAAACTAAATGAACTAAACTAAATTAAGGAGGTGTTCGCACAGGACGGGTTACTGCGTGTCCAGCATGTTTGCAAACAACTGAAAAACATTGCATTTGTCAACAAGAATGAGTTCTACCCAAGATGAGATTTGTTAGAACACCAGAGGGAGGGAGATTTTAACGTACCGTCATGAATTTTTACATTTTAATTAATATAAAATGAACAGTAAACTGAACTAACTACATTACAAGAATGTTTAACTTTGCCTATACATTTATTTAAACTATTTACAGGCCCCATGAGGCATTCAGTTAAGCTGTTGATTTAAACACATTTCAGCGATCTATCCCTACAAATGTGTACAGTACAATAAATAAATTACCATCAATTAAGTACTTCAGTAAAAGTACAGATACCCTAATAAAATATTACTCCAGTAAAATTGTAAGTACTCATTTTCAATTTTTACCTGATTAAACAAAAGCACTTGATATTTAATAGACTTAAGTATAAAATGTAAAAAGTTCTAGAACCATGTTTAGCCAGAACTAGTCACTAAAAAATGCAGTGCAGACATTTAATATGTATTGCTTTAATATAATGAAATATCATCAATTTAGTTTACTGATAATTCGAGTTTGCAAACGGTTGAAAAAACTACATTTAAACAGAGGAAAAGCTACATTTGTGTAAATATTTAGTGACAAAAATTACGTATTTTGACAGATTTACAGATTCACATTAAGAAAGAATGTCATGCAAACATGCTAGTTTTATATCATTCGAAACTAGCAGCTGAAAAGATCATCAGTTCAAAATAACAATATATTCAAAGGAACAATATGTGGTAATAAGTACAGATACTTTAAAAAATTTACTTAAGTCCAATAATAAAGTAAATATACTTCATTGTTGTCTACCACTTGCTGATTACAATGCTGAAAATTAAAAATCAAAAATGTTGTGAATGAAAGAGCAGTGACAGTGACTATAGATAATCTCACCTCATATTGAGGATGGCAGAAGTCAGTGGAACTGCAGACTGGACACTTATAGACATTAGACCGAACATTTTTACCGTAATATAAACCCAGTTACTTACTTTTGCACTCTGACAAATATGTAATGCATTTGTATTTTTTTAAATGCCAGTACAAATACCCCCGTCCCTCATATCTGTATGAAATGCACACCTTGCTGAAATTCACAAATTCACGCCTTGAGGAGCAGTTTATTAGAGTGTAAAGACATTCGTTGTCTGATGTGTAAAATCATACAGCAATTGACTTTAAAAATGGCCTTCCACAATCATTTCACAGAACGAGTCATGGCTAGAAATCTTAGAAATGAATGAGAATGAATTGCAAACTGCAATCAAACCAGTCCACACCTGTTTCTAAGTATGCTGCGGCGTCACATATCTCGGTGTGCTTCACTATCATATCAATGTCATCACTGGTGTTTAGTAACAAGAACAAGTAAATAGGACAATATTTGGCTGAGATACAACTATTTGAAAATCTGGAATTTGAGGGTGCAAAAAAATCAAAATATTGAGAAAATCGCCTTTAAAGTTGTCTAAATGAAGTACTTAGCAATGCATATTACTAATCAAAAATTAAGTTTTGATATATTTGCGGTAGGAAATTTACAAAATATCTTCATGGAACATGATCTTTACTTAATATCCCAATGATTTTTGGCATAAAAGAAAAATCAATAATTTTGACCCATACAATGTATTGTTGGCTATTGCTACAAATATACCCCAGCGACTTAAGACTGCTTTTGTGCTCCAGGGTCACATTTGACCTTAGGCCTCGGCCTTGGTTTTACGTGCATCTTTAAAGACAAAATTGACAATCTACTTATAGAAAGTTGACTGTTTCCTCTGTTACATCCACACAATGCTGGGCTGAAATGCTCCACATGTAGGTGATCTGACTACTTTAGTACATTTTAGGACAAAATGTCTCACAATCCAGCTTCTGTCTTGGTCTTCCCAGATAAGCCCGACCCTCCTGCTCGTGTCCCGGCATCCTCAGACATCCGTAAGTCCAGCCTCACACTGTCCTGGTACGGGCCGACATACGACGGGGGCAGCGCTGTCCAGTCCTACAACCTGGAGACGTGGAGCTCTGTGGACATGAAGTGGACAGATCTGGCGTCCTGTAACAGCACCTCCTATAACGTGCAGAACCTGCTTCCAGACAGGCAGTACAAGTTTCGAGTGAGAGCGGTGAATATTTATGGTGTGGGAGAGCCCAGCGCTGAGTCTGCACCCGTGCAGGTGGGGCCGGAGGCCGAGGAGGGTGAGCGCCACCTAGAGGATATCAAGAGTATTACAGGAGCCACAAAGAATGGATTACAATCTTAACTTTTGGTTACTGCATTTGGTTATTTCAGTTAAAATAAAAATAGACGAATAAATAAAATAAAGTAAAATCTAAAATTGATATAAAAAAAATTAAATGTGCTGTAATAACAGTCTGTTGCTTTTACAGAAAATAAAGATGAAGCTGAGCCTTCAGATGATGGTATGTGTCATGTTTGTGAAATTTAATCTTTGAAATCGTAAGTGTCAAGTTTCTGTGCTCTTCTTTTTCTGTTTCCCTCTTTCATTTAGAGGAGATGGTGAGGTTGTACATATAACCAAACGTGTCAAATAGAACATATGTATGTGAAAAAGGGGGGGGGGGGGGAGCAAAAAGAGGGGGGGGGGATACAGAAAAGCATTGCACTGTAAATCTTTAACAATTGCATAGTTCATATGTGTTTACTTTTAGTTTCCAAATACATGTCTTCAATTGTTCAAACATAGGCATTTTTCAAATCATTTGACCTTATGAATATAAGCGCATTTAATAATTAAATCAAAAAATAAAAATGAACTACCTTAGCTTTTTTGTAAATAATTATCCCAGAATAATAATAATAATTTTAGGGGTATCTTTACAAAAAACACTGCCATCATGTTGATGTGTATTTCTCTCATGCTAGTAATCAGAGACAAAGAGGTCATAAAACGTGTGCTGTTAGAATGGGATATTTCATTCTGAATTACTACAGGAAGGCTTTTCAAAACCCTTGAGGAAAATAAGAGTTAAATATCGCAATTTGACAGATTATAGACAATCCAGAATGACTGGGATCCATTCCCTCTCTTTTCAGAATCAGAGAAGGAACCGGATTACAGAAATGTGACGATCAGGACAGACGTGAAGGTGAAGGACCTGTATGATGTGGAAGACAGACTGGGCACGTGAGTATGATAAAATAGCATCGATTATTTGATATTACCTTACACCATAAAGGAGACAGTAATAACATTCTGCTGGCGTCCTTCTACTTTGCGGTTGTCCTATAATCTGTCTAAAAAAATGCAAAAACAGATGTAAATTTCCTGTAAGAAAACAGGATCTGGAAGTTTTCATTTTTTCAGTCTTATTTCTTTTTCTTTCTGTTTTTAGAGGTAAATTCGGGACTGTTTTCAAACTGATAGAAAAGTCCACAAAAAAGGTGTGGGCTGGCAAATTCATAAAAGCATATTCTGCCAAAGAAAAAGACAATGTCAGACAGGAAATAGCGATCATGAATGACCTGCATCACCCAAAGCTTGTGCAGTGTGTCGACGCTTTTGAGGGAAAGACTGACATTGTGATGGTGCTGGAAATGTAAGTGTATATGTGTTTAATGAGCTTTAATCTTAGATTAGTGAATGCAAATTGGCTGTTTTCTAGTTCTTTGGCTTTCACCAGCTCATATCAAGCCTGTAAACAACAGCTCAAAAAAGAATGTTATTATTTTAGTGTTATTGTGATTGTTTTCAAATACACATTTGTATGCACTTATTTGTATAACACAAATGCTTAAACAGAAATTAATAATTGTAATAGAAATTATTAATTGTCAAGTAACAGTATGTCAGCCTGTTATGCAAAACATTGTTTTAATTCCAATATGCCAAAAATGTGTAATTTTTAAGTGATTGTTACCTGCAGATCATTAACTATTAGAACACACCATCCTCGTACTAAAATAAAAAAAAAGCTTTCTATTTTTATCAGTAAGTGAAAAGTCAGTAAAATAAGAATTTGCTCTGCATGTTCATTTTAGTCACTACAAAGCACATCATGCCATTTCGATTCCTGAACTTCCTAGGATGAAAAAATCCCAGAGAATTTCTAAATGAAGCCAAATAGCACTCAAATTGAGTTTTATCGGGGATAAATACATTCCTGTTTGAGGTTGTCAGTATTTCACAGTACATACGGTATGTGAATGTGTCTGGTGTATTGGCTGAACGCTGGTGTTCCTCAGGATCTCTGGAGGAGAGCTGTTTGAGAGGATCATAGACGAGGACTTTGAGCTGACGGAGAGAGAGGTGATCAAATACATGCTTCAGATTGTGGATGGAGTCAATTTCATCCATAAGAAAGGCATCGTCCACCTGGACCTCAAACCTGAGAACATCATGTGTGTCAATAAGACCGGCAGCAAAATCAAACTCATTGACTTTGGACTGGCACGCAGACTGGGTCAGTAGAAAACCCTCACACTGGGTTTTTATGGGGTTTTAACATTTCGAAAATGTCATTGAAAACATTTATTTATTTCAAATTGAAGTTCTAACATCATGTATAGTTCTAAAATGGAATGATGGAATGGTGCTTTGTCTGGCTGTAGAGAATGCTGGCTCTCTGAAAGTCCTGTTTGGCACCCCAGAGTTTGTGGCTCCAGAGGTGATTAATTATGAGGCCATCAGTTACACGACAGACATGTGGAGTATAGGAGTCATCTGCTACATCCTGTGAGTACACAACCATTATGAAGAGAAATACCTTTATGACCATGAAATCTGCAGACTTTATCCCATTTTTTATGCAATTCAATTTTGTGCAATTTTTCGTGCTGATCTTGGGATAAAATCTGCAGAATTATGTGGAATAAATGCATACATGAGCTGAGAGTACTACACTCCTATTGGTAACTGTTTTCAGACATTTAATTGATTTCTTTGAAATATATTTAAAGTGTATTGTCAAATGTACTGACAAGCATTTAAGGTAAACTAAAATATAATTTAATGTCATTTCTATACAAACCTGAAGTTGCAATTTAGTACATTTTAATTGAATTAACGTTAAATATAATATCCTATAACACACTATAGTTGATATTATAATTGAGCACTTTACATGTGCTTTAGTATGTTAGTCAACACATCAAAATAAGTGTACTTGTTTAAGGCACAACAACAGATTATTAAAACAATTATTTAAAATATACTTTAAAAGTAAAACGTACATTTGGCTTCATTACAAAATGCATGTTTAAAAAAGTGTACTTAAATGGGTTAAGAAACATTGTCGTGACGTTTTCATTATTATAATGTTTTTTGCAAGTATAGTTTTATTTAAAAAGACAAGTGCACATGCGGTACAGTTAAGATCACTTCTTTTCCACAAGGGTGATCATCCCACACCATTTCACAACATTGTTTTGGGAAGAATGTTGAAGTTGAATGAGAAGAAAGTGTGAGCTTTCGCTTAGCTTTCCTTTCCTGAAATGGAAATCACCTCTGCAAGGCGTTTGCCATTTTTCTTTAAGACAATAGAGTAATACAACAGCCCCTCATGAGTGCTATTTTGTTATCTTCTTTTTGTCTTTTTTTTTTAATCAGCTATCAGAAAGATGGGGCTGTAGATCTCTTGTGTTTGTCTGTGCTTTCTGTCAGTTATCCAGTGTTATCCAGAATAATGATTTCTTCCTGGTGTGACTATTCGTTTACTTTCATTAGTGTAACCCAATGAAGTCAGTGAAAGTAGTAAATCCTATAATGTCTACTGCATCATATTTGATATGCAAATATCTAAGATCTTAAAATTATCTACAAGAAAAAAAAGAAGAAGAAAGAAAAATACTTTTTTAACAAGCAAACAGCCTTTTAGTAGCCTATAATTGTACAAAAGTCCCCCTTCAGGTTGTCTTTTTGTTGTGAAATCTTTAAGTAATATATAAAGTACTTAAAGTAAAATATGTCCTTTTTTTTATAGCAAATTTGATATATATTAAGTGTCAAATATACTACTATAAGAGGCATACGCCTAATGGTTTGTATAGTTCTTCTTTCATTGTTTCTTGTTCTCTTTAGCGTCAGTGGTTTGTCTCCCTTCATGGGGGACAATGATAACGAGACACTGTCTAATGTGACCTCAGCGACGTGGGACTTTGAGGACGAGGCGTTTGATGAGATCTCAGACGAGGCCAAAGACTTTATCAGTAACCTGCTGAAGAAAGGCATGAAGTGAGTGCCTTCAGAAAACACTTGAAAAAAAGAACTGTTGCCTTGTCCTTGAGTCATGTTGAATGTCTGATTTAGCTGATTTCCTCCGTCTTGCGTCACGCATCGGTTCTCCCTGAGGTGCAGCAGTAGGGTTCGGTTCTCTGTCAGAGATCATGCATTTTCTTTTTATGGTTTCATCAGTTTCTTTTTCTCCGAGTGTAATTAACGTGACGCACAGTTACAGTGTGTTCTTGTCTGCAGAGCTCGCCTGAGCTGCGATCAGTGTTTCCAGCACCCCTGGCTCAAACAGGACACCACCAATATGGAGACCAAGAAGCTTTCCAAAGAGAGGATGAAGAAATACATTCTGAGAAGAAAGTGGCAGGTCAGGAGCTAAATGATGATCATCTGACATAAAATGTTGTTTTTTCTCCTTGCGTTATTGATAGTCTGATTGAAGTGAGCTTCTTGCGGTGTGTTCTGTTACTGATGTGTTAGTGAATAAAGTCATAAATGCTTTGCTCACTCTTCTCCAGAAAACAGGGCATGCGGTACGAGCTATCGGTCGACTGTCTAACATGGCATTGATGGCAGGCGTTCATGCCAAAAAGAGCTCCCCCACTGAAGGTGCACAACGTTTCTGTCCTCACCAACCCTTGCATAAAAGACTAATACTGACTCAGCTAGTGAACTGTCAGCAGTTGAAGAAGTGTGCGTACTGAAAATATGTGCACTTGTGTACTGCATATGTCAAACTTAAGATAATGTCACATTTTCTGTACTATAATATTAATGAAATAGAAGACCACTTAAGCGTAGAGCATACTTTCATGACTGTTTTTTTTTTATATACTTAATATTGCTTTTAAAAAGTGCACTTTTAATAAAATTACAAACAATTCAAATTCAATTCACAAGACATTTTTAGATTTTAGTACATTTTAAATCATATTTTAATAATGTTATGTCGTGCTTTAAAGAAGTATACTACTTATACTATCTATTGCACATGTAAAGTAAGTACTTAGATTGTTAATGTAATTATAATTTTAACTGTAGTGTTATTCAGAATTTTAAAATATATTTGAAATGTATTTCATCATTTTACAGTTTGTTTACTCATTACAGTTTATTCATTATAAATGTGTAATTACGAATATATTTGAATACATGACATACAAGTTTTTAATAGAAATTACATTAAATTATATTTTAGTGTACCTTACATGCTTATCAGTACGTTCAGCAAGGCACTTTAACCATATTTGTGACCCTGTACCACAAAACTAGTCTTAAAGGGGTCATATGATGCGATTTCAAGTTTTCCTTTCTCTTTGGAGAGTTACAAGCTGTTCGTGAATAGATAAGATCCCTGAAGTTGCAAAGACTAAAGTCTCAAAACCAAAGAGATATTCTTTATCAAAGTTAAGACTCTGCCACGCCAGTGGATGCATTTAGGAATCTTTAAGATCACTTACAACAGAACAGCAATGCATTTTATGGACGACCGTTTCGTGAACCTAGGAGAGGAGGTAATTCTGACTTTGCTATGACAATCTGGCGCTTCTGAATCAGCTACTGTTTTGTTATTAGTTGCTATTGACTGTTCAAATGCGGAGTTTTGCGCATTGTGTGTGTGTGTGAGAGAGAGAGAGACAGGGTCACATCACAGTAGAGTCAGCTGTCTTAACCGTGGCTTGTGTACTGCAAACACATACCAGCTTCATCACTGTGTCTGTCACGCGACTCTGTTCCCCTTTCGGGCTTGAACTGATGGTAAAACTAATGACATTATTTACTGTCTTTACATTTATTTTGAAAGATGAAGCTCGCGATTATGGTAAGGGGCGTTACATTTCCGACGAGTGCTTGCGGTGTTCGGCCAATCACAATGCACTGGGTCAGCTGGCCAATCAGAGCAGACTGCGCTTGTCGGAAGGAGGGACTTTGTAGAAAACGAAGCGTTTGAGAGAGGCGGGGCATAGAGGACCTACAATAATGTACAGTATTTGAAAAATAATGTGTTTTTTGAACATTAAAGCATGTCAACATATTCTGTTACACCAAATACACAAAATAATGATCTTTAAAAAAGCATCATATGACCCCTTTAAGTGTCAATTTTTCAAAATTGAGATTTATACATCTGAATAAATAAGCTTTCCGTTGATGTATGGTTTGTTAGGATAGGACAATATTTGGCCGAGATACAACTATTTGAAAATCTGGAATCTGAGGGTGCAAAAAAATCTAAATATTGAGAAAATCGCCTTTAAAGTTGTCCAAATTAAGTTCTTAGCAATGCATATTACTAATCACAAATTAAGTTTTGATATATTTACGGTAGGTAATTTACAAAATATCTTCATGGAACATGATCTTTACTTAATATCCTAATGATTTTTGGCATAAAATAAAAATCTATAATTTTGACCCATACGATGTATTGGACATTAAGACTTAAGACTGGTTTTGTGCTCCAGGGTCACATTTATGAGATTAGTAAGTACTCTAATTGCATTTAATATTTACAATTAATTTTAAACAACATGCAATGAAGTGTCTGAAAACATTACATTCAATTCACACTTACTGTAAGATTTATTATTTTCTATTATTTTATTTTTAAGTATGCTGAAATGTACCTCTATTTCACAAGGAGATGAGATTATTAACCTGGTTAGTACTGTTAAAACCGCAGCCCACTTTAGAGAGTTATCATACTATATGTCTTGTATTAAAAGTGGTGTTCTGCACTCTTCCCTAGGTTTAAAACGAGTTGTGAAAAGTAAATTTAAAGTCTTTAACATGAGTATTTATATCCAAAACCTTCTTGTTTGTCTGTCGTAGCAGAGGATAAACAGTTTTCTGCTGAATTGAAGGAGAAAACTCTAATGAAACCCACGTTCAGTAATTTTATTAAAGACGTTGAGGTGGTGGAAGGCAGTGCTGCTCGGTTCGACTGCAGAATCGAAGGTAAAATAGTACGACTATGTACTGCTTAAACATTCTATTGATACAGTCTGGTGCACTGATTAAATGTGAATAAATGTGGTGAAATAAAATTTTAAATGTTGACTTTCCAACATGCTTAATACTTTGTACCAAATGTGTGGAACAGCCCACAACCATTTTCCAGTTCTATAAATATTATGAATAGCATTTACTTTTGAAAACTAAATGTGAAAAAAAAAAAACACTTTCTACTATCCTTTTGTACTTTTGCATTATATTTAGTGCCGCTAGAGGCATAGACACGCTTCATCTTTAAGTGCACTACACTGTTAGACATTTCAAAGGGTTTTTACAGTAACTTACTGGCAACACTGTTGCCAAAACTGTTGCCAGTAAGTTACTGTAATTAAGATTTACAGTAGCAAACTGTATTTGGTTTACAGTTGCAAACTGTACTGTTTCACAGTAAATTACTGTAAAAAATCCAATTCATCAGTATACTACTGTAATAGTACTATTAAAAGGTTTATGCTGGTAAGGTGTTTTAATGTTTTTAATAGGAAGTCTCTTATGCAGTAAAAACAGTAATATTATGAAATTATATTACACTTTAAAATAACTGTTTTCTTTTTGAATATATTTTAAAAAATGTGTTTATTCCTGTGATGCAAAGCTGTATTTTCAGCATCATTACTCCAGTCTTCAGTGTCACATGATCCTTCAGAAACCATTCTTGCTGCTCAAGAAACATTTCTGATTATTACTATCAATGTTGGAAACAGTTGTGTTGCTTATTATCTTTGTGGAAACCATCATGCAAAAGAACAGCATTCATTTGAAATAGAAGTATTTTATGTTTTAGTTTTGATGTGTCTTTGCTAAATAAAATGACAAATCTGTTGGTATTCATGCATTTATTTTAAGTTCTGTCAGGACCACTATCGTCAAAGATGATTGACAGTTAGCATACAGATTGGATTGGCAGTATGGTTCTGTTCTGGGCAAGAACTCCCTGCGCATCCATGCAGCCTAGCATGGATGAGAGCAGGGCGAGCTGCAATAACCCCGCAGGGTAAACAGAACAGAACTAACATAAATGTATTGCAGATATTGTTAAAGTTCAATCATTTTATGTACACATTTTATAATTAGTCTGATTCAAAGGAGAATCAGAAGGCTGAATCCCGACTGACAGAGGAGGAGCTGGGGATGGAGGAGGGTAATTAGCTATTGAGCAATGTGAAAACTGCTGATAATACTGAGGGACCTTATATATGAATGCTTAGATAGGTGTCGTATTCCCATAGGTTGATGGGGATCAGCTGAAAGTCAGCTGATGCGAGCTTGACTAACGTGACCTGCCAGAACTAACACTACGCTTGATTTATTTATATATTTTAATATGCATATTTTGTGACTGTTTACTCTCAGGTTATCCTGACCCTGAGGTGGTGTGGTATAAGGACGACCAGCCGATTAAAGAGACGCGCCATTTTCAGATTGATTATGATGAAGATGGAAATTGCAGTCTTGTTATTTCTGAGGTCAGCGGTGATGATGACGCAAAGTACACCTGCAAGGCCATGAACAGCGTCGGGGAGGCCAACTGCACCGCCGAACTCATCGTGGAGGTGATGGGACGAGAGGAGGAGGAGGAGGAAGAGTAGAAGACAACCTCTTTTGTCACGTTTCTCTTTTACACCTGTCTTTCGGACTTTCAGATGATGAGGATGATGAAGATCTCAGATCACCTTTTGCTGCATTTCCTTCATTGCACTTCCAGTTTGTTCTTTTTGTATTTATGCAACAGCCAGATATCAGATTTGTTCATCACATGACATCAATATTACTCACATTCTTCATTGTCATGTTTTACTCCAACCAAACATTTCTAAACTCACATGTGTGTTTGTGTGATGATCATCGCTCGTGACTGTGTGAGCTGAGCTGTTACGACAGCTTTATTTAAGCACTGCAAACTCATGTAAGGTTGTGTGTTTTTGTCTGGAGACGTTTTCCTCCTCTTTCACCATCTGTCACAGTAGCAGCACTCAACAGATATTTGGAGACACGTGTTAAATGTATGTTTATTTGATTAGGAATGTCTGTAGATTATATTTCTTGAAATGTTTTTTTAGATATATACGCATTTGATAAAGTGCAGATTGCATTGTAATGAGAACACTACAAATGTAGTTATTCACTTTTAAAGAATACATTTTGATCACAAACTCTGTAAGTTGTTGTGCTCACTTAAAAAACAGAGTCATTCAAAGTTGTTAAAAAAATGTATGACAGTCATAATCCAGTGCATCCTTGCTGCTTTTATAGAACTAAGGAAAATATTAAAGGACACAATTCATTAAAACGTTATTTTACTAAGCTAATTCCAAAATAAATGAAGAGTAAAAATTAAACTGCATCGTGTCCTATAACATCAAAAAAAATGTTGGGAAAGTTTGCCTATTACAGAACATCACTCCCCCCACCCCCCGTATTTTTCATATTTTGGTCACTGTTACGTTCTAGGATTGGACACATCCTGAAGTATAGTCAGGGCGATTAAGTTCTACTCTGTTTCGAGTTTTAAATTAAAACTAACAGCACACTCTTCGCCAGATGGCGCTGTGTTGTCACAACTATACATTCAATGTGTTGTCTCAAGATATTTTGGACATAAAACAGTTGTGACCCTGGACCACAAAACCCCAAAGCGTCATTTTTTTGTAATTGAGAGTTATACATCATCTGAAAGCTGAATACATAAGCTTTCTATTGATTTATGGTTTGTTAGGATAGGACAATATTTGGCAGAGATACAACTATTTGAAAATCTGGAATCTGTGGGTGCAAAAAAATCAAAATATTGAGAAAACCCCCTTTAAAGTTGTCCAAATGAAGTCCTTAGCAATGCATTTATTACTAATCAAAAATTAAGTTTTAATATATTTATGGTAGGAAATGTACAAAATATCTTCATGGAACATGATCTTTACTTAATATCCTAATGATTTTTGGCATAAAAGAAAAATCGATAATTTTGACCCATACAATGTATTTTTGGCTATTGCTACAAATATACCCCAGCGACTTAAGACTGGTTTTGTGCTACAATTCTGCAATTCTGCAACAGTTATTCAAGACTTTAACCCAGTACTGGGAGGACGTGTAATCAACACAACATTTCAGGCCCCACTGTTGATTTTGAAATGGGAGACTGAATGTGAATAAGTTCAACTCCTGTCTGTGTCACAGCAAACATGGTTTAAAATGAGTGGAATCATCACTCAGTACAATGTGGTCTCTGTTTTGTGTCTCTGTGTGGACTTTAAGAACATTGCTTCCTTCATCTGGCTCACAGACAAATTTAGGAACATCTGTCCTGCAGCAGAGATTTTATTCTTCCTCCTTTATTTCTTGACATTTTATAAGTCCTTGTAGTGCCTTTGGGCCTCTGAGGGTCTCCCTCAGCGTCTTCGGTTTCAGCAGCTGTGGGCTTCCTGTGTCCCTTTTCTCTTTTGTATGAAGTCTGGTCTCTCCTTCCGCATATGGAGCTCAAACAATGCATTAGCACTCATGTGTCTGAAAGTACAGAAAGATTTTACTGTGTCAATGTGACACTTATGTGCATTTAACCATACATTATCACATGACTCATTAATGGTGACTAACGATGAAGGGATCGTTGTAAAGACTTAAAGTCCCCCTGTAGTGAAAGTCAAGTTTTTTTATGTTGTTTATTTGTCTATGTGGTGTTTTTAATATGCTTTTAGACAAACCATGTGCCAATCTATTAATCAACACCATTGCTGAGTATTTTCTCCTTAAAAGTGTAGTTTCCCAAAGGCTGACCCAGAAATACGGTTTGAAACAGCCCTTGGTTTGCTACGTCACAAACCAATAACCAATCACGTCAAGGGATCGATTCCTATCACTAGCATGCAAAATATACCAATACCAGCACAAAACCAAAAATAAATCAGAGCAAAAAACCCATGAAGCTGTGGTTTAATGTGAATTTAGAACCGCTAACTTGCATTATAACCCGTGGCAACAGTGTAAAATAGCCCAGAGTTCACACACGTATGCTCGTGGGCGCGAATTAACAATCACAAACGGCTGCATTCGAGTCTTCAAGGCATTTTAGGACACAACATCGTCAAGTAAGTAACTTTAACGAATGTTACAGTATTCACTGTAGTTGTCCGCTAGGCAAACATGGTTTAAAATGAGTGGAATCATCACTCCGTACAATGTGGTCTCTGTTTTGTGTCTCTGTGGACTTTAAGAACATTGCTTCCTTCATCTGGCTCACAGACAAATTTAGCAACATCTGTCCTGCAACAGAGATTTTATTCTTCCTCCTTTATTTCTTGACATTTTATAAGTCCTTGTAGTGCCTTTGGGCCTCTGAGGGTCTCCCTCAGCGTCTTCGGTTTCAGCAGCTGTGGGCTTCCTGTGTCCCTTTTCTCTTTTGTATGAAGTCTGGTCTCTCCTTCCGCATATGGAGCTCAAACAATGCATTAGCACTCATGTGTCTGAAAGTACAGAAAGATTTTACTGTGTCAATGTGACACTTATGTGCATTTAACCATACATTATCACATGACTCATTAATGGTGACTAACGATGAAGGGATCGTTGTAAAGACTTAAAGTCCCCCTGTAGTGAAAGTCAAGTTTTTTTATGTTGTTTATTTGTCTATGTGGTGTTTTTAATATGCTTTTAGACAAACCATGTGCCAATCTATTAATCAACACCATTGCTGTGTATTTTCTCCTTAAAACTAGTTTCCCAAAGGCTGACCTAGAAATATGGTTTGAAACAGCCCTTGGTTTGCTATGTCACAAACCAATAACCAATCACGTCAAGGGATCGATTCCTATCACTAGCATGCAAAATATACCAATACCAGCACAAAACCAAAAATAAATCAGAGCAAAAAACCCATGAAGCTGTCGTTTAATGTGAATTTAGAACCACTAACTTGCATTATAACCCGTGGCAACAGTGTAAAATAGCCCAGAGTTCACACACGTATGCTCGTGGGCGCGAATTAACAATCACAAACGGCTGCATTCGAGTCTTCAAGGCATTTTAGGACACAACATCGTCAAGTAAGTAACTTTAACGAATGTTACAGTATTCACTGTAGTTGTCCGCTAGTAAAAAGATAGTTTTATCAGTCATTATCCGTGTATGCCATTGTTTTGCGGTTACTACAGTTCAGTGGATCAGGAGGCGCTGGCTGATGTGACTGAGTGGAGGCGGGACTAATTTGCATATTCATAGATCAGCGTATAGTAAATGAGGCAAGGGTGTAGGGTTACATTCAAGCTATTTTAAGGCATGAGAAATTTATTTTCACAAGAAAAAACATTTTAATATATAATTTTGATGATCAAAGATAAGTTTTAAGGGATAAAATATTTGACTACAGGGGGACTTTAAGTAAGTAGTTAGCAAACGGTGTAGCCATCTATGAGTGCTAGAGTTGCCCAAATTCACTTTTAACAAATGTATGTTTAAATGTAAAGACTTTTTCTTATTGGAGACAATATAAGGGAGCAATTGTGAGCTATAAAGACACAACAGTGAAATTTAATTTAATTTAATTTAATTTTATTTTATTATTTTATTTTATTGTATTTTATTTTATTTTAATACATCTGACCGAGCAAGAACAGTTTATGTTTTTAAATAGCCTTAAAATTAAATCAAATCAAATTAAATTAAATTAAATTAAATTAAATTAAGAATACAGAATAAGGATTTTTAAAGCTAAATTGCATGGGTACTATGTGTGACTGATGACTGATGATTCCACAGGTGTCTCTTTCTATCTTGCCTCAAGCTAAAAATGTGTGAGCAGTGTGTTTTAATCATTTATGTACCATATTTTGAATTCTGTCTTGTTTGTGCAATTTTAATTCCCCTGGCGTGTTTTTCTTCCCTTGTTTGCTATCTATTATGTAGCCTAATGTTATTGCTCACTGTAAAAAGTAAAGAGAGCGAAGAGAACTATTGAGCTGCATCTATTTTATTTGCGCATGTTGTAAATAGACTATAAATCATTAATTCAAAGGACTGCTGACAATGTTTTTACGATGATTCAATCAATCAGCTACCAAGCGAACCTCGTGTATAATTCATGAGCAAAGTCTTCGCTGTGGTAGGGTGGGTCACTGCACTCGCGGGGCGGAGTTGAAGCGCCAGCGCCTGTAGTGGTCCGCTGAAGTGCGTTTCAGAGTCTGAACCATGAAGAACAGAAGAGCTCACTGGGAGTAGTGCGGACGTTGTGCAATATGCAAATATGACACGTTATTTGTATGAAGTTATAATGCAGCTGCGCGCGGACCCTGCTGCTGCCGCTGACCTCCATGAAGTGTTCAAGATAAAGTCGCACAGGCAGTGATAACAGAGACCGGACTCATACAGGACAAACCCGCAGAATAAGAGTGTGACTGCGATACTGGAGGAGAGATGGGGAACGCAGGGAGCATGAACCAACACACTGACCCCAGAGGACACCACATGCCCCTCAAACTGCCCATGCCCGAGCCGGCCGAGCTGGAGGAGAGATTTGCGCTCGTCCTGGTCTGTACTAATGACTTTACGATTATCAGCTGAACAACCAGAGAGAAATCTGCACTTGCTTTTCACTTCTTTCTTTGTTGCACTTCTATTCTATTCTATTATATAACAGTCAAAGTATATAGATCCCGTTTGTAGACATCTAAAGAGATGTTTACGTTGCCCTTTTACTTTAGGCTGCAATTCTGTTTAATTATGTTAGCTTGGTAGTAGTTGTTATTTTATTAATTTACATTTAAAAGTATATCAATTTGTTTTGTAGACATGTAAATATTTGTTTACTTTGCTGCTCTTCTGTTCTGTTAACTTGGTAGTAGCCTAGTTATTTGATTTATTTACATTCAAAAGTATATGGATACCTTTTTGATATATAAAGAGGTTTGATATGCCATTTTACTTTTATTCTATTCTATTCTATTCTATTCTATTCTATTCTATTCTATTCACTGGCCACCGTTCTGTTATTTACACTGGTCTGTTGAAAGTGTATAAATCAGTTTTGTGGACGGTTATGGTAGAGTACTTTGATATATACTATGGTACTAAATTGAATTATCACATTTCATATGCCATAGTTTTATACTTTAAAGAATATCATGTTACAACCACAATACAATGTCCAAAAAGCTATGGTACTTTTTGTTTGAAATTCAGGTGTGTCTCTGGGTTTTTTGTTCAGAGATGTTTAGTAACCTATCGTAAACAACTTTACAAATGCAGATGAACTGTGTTTATTATCATTTCAGTTTGATGTAATTTTGTTCATAAAGATATAAATCATTCTGTCTTTGGGGCTGAAAGTGCTGCTACGTTACAGATTCGTTTTTTCTTGATATAGTTGTCCCTCTTCTGTCTTGGGAAAGTTTGCTTATCACCATTTTTAAGACATGTCATCATTGGTTTAAACTCCAGCATCATGTGCCATTGTCTTGGTTGTTTCCAAATGTTCCCAACTCATTCGTTATTTTTAGCTTAATGCTGACTTCATTATGGCACAGGAAATGATGTCATGCAGTTGGAATCTATTATCCTTTGCCTCTGTGTGTGTCTGAAGTATGCGAGGAATGTCTTCGATTAGTATGCAGCTACCTGAAGTGTGCCGTGTCTGGCCGTCTGCTAGGCCTGGTTTTATGGGGACATATAAATGTAGGTCAGACCTAATGCTTCACTAGCACTAGACAAAACCTTTAAATTAACACACACTCACACACACAGACTATTCAGAGAGCTGGAGGTTTCTTCAAGGAAAGCAGCTAGTGGCAGAATGGGGGAGTCAGCTCAGTCGGTCCCTAAGGAAATGGAGTTGGTTTGGCTCTCTTTCTTTCACAGACCTTCAGGCTGTGGTTATTTGACCAATTGAGGAGGCCAAACGAGTAGTTTCCATTCAATATCCTTAGGGAGAAAACACTCTCTTTCTCGCTTACTTTCTAGTTGTTTGGCCACCTCGAGTCTCTGAGTATGTAACTTGCTGTCTTTATTCGTGGTGGTTTAATAGCAGTCACAGTGTTCTTGTTGTGGTAATTGCCCCCAAGTCTCAGGCAGATGAATCCTGCTCTGTCTTTTTTAACCAAAAATGTTATTGTTTTAAGTGAAATATATTAAAGTAAGGGATAATGTACAGCCAAATATGGTAATTATTTCTAAATAAAACACTGAACTATATATTTATAGAGCAAATATTTGGTATAAACTAAACTGTGGTAATTTGGAAGAAAGTATTTAGAAACATTTTCTAATTTTAACTGATTAACATTTAGGTACACATCAAACAGTAATATAGTTGTCATACAAATAGTTATAAACTGAACAACCTAACAGGTTTCATAATGCTCAATATCACAACATAAAAAAAAATAATGTCCAACCTCCAAATAAATAAGCAATTTATAACTCCAACTACTATAAGTATGTCCTTTTTTACCTACTCACATATAGTAGACTCATGTATAACAATATATAACTGCTTGGCTGTTTCTAATATATTTGATTATATATTATAATTATATTGCATAATTTAAACCATATGGCAATATATTTCAAATTTTATTTGCAAAAACAGATCGTTTTTATTAATTCTCATAAATCGTGTGTTTTATTGTTTTATTGTGTTAGTTAGCTGTATTTTTTTAGTTATTACAAATTTTATTTGCAAAAACAGACCGTTTTTATTAATTCTCATAAATCGTGTGTTTTATTGTTTTATTGTGTTAGTTAGCTGTATTTTTTTAGTTATTATTATTTAATCAAAACAACCCAACTGCAGCTTGATTGATATTAATTGAAATGCATAATAATAAAAAAAACATGATTTTTGAACATTTTAGTTATCTGTTATTGATAACAGATATCTGTTTTTGCAAATGAACTCTTACATATATTGTGCATCCAACTTTACTTGCATACATACATTTACATTTAGTCATTTAGCAGACACTTTTATCCAAAGCGACTTACAAATGAGAACAATGGAAGAAATCATAACTAACAAAAGAGCAACAATATATAAGTGCAAATGACAAGTCTCGGTTTGCCTAAGACAGTACATGTAGCAAGGTATTTATATATATATATATATATATATATATATACTGTACATACATACACACACAAAGAAAAACAAGTAGGCAGGTCACTCCACCAGGAGGGAACAGTTAATGTAAAAGTCTTATATTGTCTCAAGATCTAAACTATATTATTGCAAAGCGCTATATATAAAGTTGGACTTATCAATATATTCAACTTTACCCGCATACAGTATACTCACATAAAGTTAGGTCAATCTAAACTGCTTGATTGTTTACATCACCACAGGATGTAAACTATATTATTATCGCCCAGCTCTAATCTACTATATATGACTACAAGGGATGAAGATATTAAGATATTACAAACATTAACATGAAATTAGAACCCATCCATTGGAAATGAATTTACATTAGTAAAAACCTGACTGTAATTTAGCAGTTTTATTCCCAACACCTCTTAACTGATAATCCTAGTTCACATTTTTTCTTCAATATATATACTTACTCCTGTTTTTTTTTAAGAATGTAGGTAAAACCTATGCAGAAATACAGATACAATTTAACCTAAACAATTTCTAGTGCCACTGTAAATCAGCCTGCGGAGTTCATTTGAAGTTATGAAGAACAAAAAAAAAGAGAATGTTTTTTTATGCTTAAATGATTGTAAAGCAGCCTTCTGAAGAGTCCTCATGCAGAGTCAAACTATCAGTGATATAGAGCGCACGTCTCACTGGGATGATGTCTTTTTTCTTGGCAGGCTGTGGTTGAGACATTAGGAACATTTTAGCACTGTAAACGCAGCTTTGAGTGGTATTTACTGCTATTAAAGCCCTGGTGCGTGCCAACCCACGGACCTTTCCAGTAGTTGCTTTACTGAGTGAGAAAGATCTTTTTATCAACTCCTGCTTGAGTGCTGCTTTCATCCACGGGTCTTTCTGAGAGGAAAATCTGACGATTAGCAGATAGATAGAAGAGAGTCTGATATTTAAAGTCTTGAATATAAAGGTCTTGAACTTAAATGACCTGGGGGTCACAAGCCAGCTAGTGTAATCTTCATTGGGGTCAAGCTGGTCAGCTGCAACAAACACAGATCTGAATTATAACTATTTGTGCATATATATAACTTGGGTATACCGAAGTTGCAATAATTGTAATAAGCAATGTGAAAAAAAAAAAAAAATACATAAAAAAAATATA